AAAAGAAAGTACCATGGAATGCCAAAAGAACAAACCTGTCTTTGAAGAAGTACAGTCAAAATGCTCCATAGAAGGCAGGAAGACAAGACTTCTGTCATACTTTGGACATATTATCAGAAGGGACCAGTCCCTGGAGAAGGAACATCATGCTTGATACAGTGGATGGTCAGGGAAAAAGAAGACCCCCATGAGATGGGTTGACCCAGTGACATGGATTCAAACATGAGGACTGTGAGCACGGTATGGTACTCGAAGTGTTCTGTTGTGCGTAGGGTTGCTGTGACTCAGAACCGACTCGGGCACCTAACCCCACATGGTGCTGCGTACCCTATTACACTATTATCAAGGTATCCAGACCCCTTGTTGGGTCACAAGCACTTCAAACATTTTGTGGTGCTGTAGGATAAGCACTTGGAGACCTGGTGTGGCACTGTGGGTTAATACGTCAGACTGCAAAGGATTTGAACTGCAAGGTCGGTGGTTCAAGCTCACCACCTGCTCCTTGGAAACCCTATACTGGGTCGCTATGGGTCGGAATCGACTCGATGGCACTTAACAACAACAACATTCATAAGTATAGGTAAAGTTCATCAAATTGTAGCAGGCTACACTCCCCTCCCCCCCACCTTCTTCTTTCTTCTTCTAGTTGAATTCTGATCATCCAGCCATCGAAGCCAGGTCAAGTGGGTACTATCTGCAAGTGTGGGTGTTCTAGTGTATCTCTCCTCACTTCATATCAGCTGGACGCTTCACTCTGCTCTAGTCCTCTGTGGCCATGTCACTGCCTCTGGGCCCAGGAGTCCCCAGGTCTTGTCATATTGCTGGCCATCCAGTTCTCCACCCAGGTTCACAAGGGTTTATTGAGTGTGGTCTGTGGTCGGGCTTAGCTCGCAACTTCATTGCTGTTTTTTCCCCTTCCCCTTATCGGTGACCAGCGAAATGTGGTCATCAGCCAGACCATATGCCTGCTCATGTATTCCCCTTGAGTCTCAGTCTTGGAAGGGGGTTTGCTCTGTGGGGTCCCGACCACTTGCCTTGATGGCTTCTGGGTGAATAGCTTACTTGTTCTTGTAGTAATCAATCAGGCTGCCATTATTGTTTTGCATTTTTCCTGCTGGTCTCTCTTTCATGAAGTATCTTCTGTTCTAGCTGCTCCAGGCTGGTCTACTCATCCTTCCCAGTGGAAATTTCCTACCTCAGT